CACAGGCAAACAGTTCCCTGAGTCCACTTCCCTTTACATCTGTCCTCGGGGTCCTTTTGAGTGGTCCCAAGAGGCCCCGAGAGCAGCCACCCCTCTCACTCTCATTTCCTCAATCCCTTTTGGTTGTATTCCTAAGAGGAATGGCTGACAGGCATTAAAGTAATAATACTTTACTAGAGTGTATATCAAGGAAAGGAGAAGCTAATGTTTTCAAAGACTAAAACCAGACACTTGACCTAAGGCCATGGACTGTAAAATCCTTAAAATGATCCAGACCTCTCCTCCATAAAACCTATAAAATTCACCATCTAGCTATAATGGCCCTAATTACATCTGCATTTCTTCAAAAACTACCGTTCAAAATAAAAACGGCCAAATCAGTTCTATTTCCTGACAATGTAACCATCTCCTTGGCATTTAGTAGTTTTGTTTCCTCCTATGTTTTCATTGGAAATGTGAGGTTTGTCAGCTCTGCTCAGGCGCACTGAGAAGCAAGCGAACAGCACCTGCCACTCCACGACTCAGGGTCTGTGGGCTGGTGGTGGCTGCTCACCATCATCATGGATTGCTAAACTCCGCCGTGAGAAAAATCTCATTTCCTTTCAATCAGTCATGAAAGAAACAAATACATCTATAATAGTGCCTACAATACCCATGGAGCTAAGGAGAAGTCTCAGTAAAGTGTTATGCAGGAATGAGGACCCAAGTTCAGATTCCCAGGGGTAGGTGTGGTCCTGGCAGGGGGCATCTGAAATCCTAGCACAGGGAAGGTAGAAAGTGGAGGCTCCCTCAGGCTTGCCTAGCCAGCCATTCTAGCGGAATTAGCGAGCTCCAGCTTCAACAAGACACACTTGAATGCATGGATGGACACAAATGTGCACACAACACACACAAATCATACACAGGGCATGAACTTGAAGTCTAAGAAACACAAACACTTCTGTGTCTTTTAGCGCTTTTTCTTTCTGACTTGGAATAGATGTAGACGAATTTTACTTAACCTAGCTCCCTCCAATCTTTTGATCCAAAGGGATTTTACTCATCCTGAAGCTTCTGTGTGCATCCAGAGCTTACCCAGGCCTGACAACCCACTAACCAGTGCATTCAGGGTTAAAATTTTAATGTCTCTCCTGCTACTGGCTTGGACTGGGATTCTTTTCATTACTATAGCTCTGAGCAGAGTAGGGGTCTATGTTAATTCCTGGGCTTCACTGTCTCTTTCGATGTGGATGAAGTTGACTTTCTGTTGTTCTGTGGCTTGGCAAAGACTGAGGAGGGATTTTTAAACTAAATTGCTGCATGTCGGAATTGTGAATCCCCTTGAATGTTTTTTCTCCTCGGAGATTTTCTGGGCAGCACAAGTATAGTGCAACCTGCTTTCCCTGTAGATAAATACTTTAACTCCTTCCATCCATCTTTGTGTATGTATCTGGTCGCTTTGATAAATACGGAAGCTGCCTGAATGAGCCTGGGTGCCCACTCCTCTTCTATTTTGTCAGACTTTTCACTCCCACCGGAACTCTCTTCCCCCGGAACGTTTTGAAAAACATTTCAATAAAAGGCATTATAGCTTTTGGTTTAGTTGGTTTTGTCTGTACAATATAAAATATATTGAAATGGAGGGAAAACGTGCACATGATAGTTGCACAGGTGAGATGACTCCTCAGGGAAAGACATGTGACACTGAGCACAAGGATGACTGGGATCACATGGTGGAAGGGGAGAACTGACTCCCAAAAGTTGTCCTCTAACTCTCCTCACACACACTCATAACCACACACACACACACACACACACACACACACACACACACACACCATTTGACATGCATGGGTAATGCATGTCTGGCTTCTAAGGCAGGCTTTGATGGAAATCTCCAGTTTAAGCTCCTGCAGAGTCACCTGCCCAGCCCCATAATTCACGTTGTCTTCCTCCAGCCTGGACAGCAGAAGCGATGATGAAGCATCCATCAAGCAGACCTGTCAAAAACAGTCTTTGCCATAGGTCCCAGTGCAGGGCTTGCCAAGACTCCACAGCCCACCATCCAGGTAGCAAGGCCATCGGCAGTTGCCATCTGCCCCAGGCAGGCTAGGTTCAGAGGTCTAGGTAATTCCTTAGAAACATGGCTAGTGCTGAGGTGGGAGGTGAGCTTGCTGGGAGGCTTCTCTTGGAGTGGGGTGACTTCACCACTCCCTGTGCTCTGATCAATGCAGGAGGGGCATTGATTCCAATTCCAGGGCTTAAAGGAAAACCTAGAAAATGGGACTTTCCCAAGGAAGTGCTCTGCCTATGTTGCCTGGGTGCTCATGTGTTTGAGGACCCCCATGTCTTTTAGGGAGCCCTTTTTGATGCTAGCACACTCATACCTGCTTGCCAGGTAGAGCATTCCTCCTCTCACCCTCTGCTTGCTCTTTCCATCCAGTTCAATGACCAACTATTACTTCATTGTACCCCAGTGCTGTGAGACACGCTGCAGACGAGGCCTAATGTCTGGACTGACTTGCCTCTCACTCACCCGTGGTTCTGCAGCACTGTTTTGGGGGTCTCCCATATATTCGGCACATATTTGTATGTTTAGAAATATCATTTAGGGTTTGAGTGCTTGCCTAGTACATATGAAGTCTTAGGTTCCACCCCCAACACCCCATAACCAAGACATGGTGGTGCACACATATAATCCCAGCACTTAGGAAGTAGAATCAGAAGATCAGGAGCTCAAAGGTCATCCTTGGTTTCACTGAGAGTTCAAGGCCAACCTAGGGTATATAAGACTCCATTTCAAAACAAATTTTATTTTGACGTGTCAAATTTTAAGGCAACCAAGCATTGACTTAGGTTGCTCTGTGGATGGCTAGGTATTACACAGCTTAGAAAGGACGCTTTCCTGTCCCCTCTTGAGGACATCTGACATATCTGTGACTACATCATTAATAAAAAAAAATGTTGCAATGCCTGTGGGATTCTGGATTTCAAGCATGTATATGACTGTTCGTGTAAAATTTTACAAGCAACAACATACTAACACATACATGCACACACACACACACACACAACCCACTCAATTAAACGCTGAGCATGGGTCTCCAAGAGTCTGCTTGGCAAATATTGCAGCCAGATGGGCAACTGGATATGGTGACATCATAACATGTCATAGACCATTTGTATTTTTAGCATGAGTTGTCAGCATTTGAGGCTACTGTGTGGTTAGAGAGGAAGAAAGACCGTAAGACTCCCTAAGGATTCAGCTTTGAGGTGACACACTCTTCTTTCCCTCTGTCCAGACTGTCAATGGATTTATGTAAAGAGTATCCCAAAACCTCAGGGTGACCTCATCAAAGAATTGTCATCAACTGTAAGACCTTACTTTGGATGTTCAGCATGCTGGTGAGATGAAGCAGCTAAAACAACAACTAAATAAATTCGAGGAAGATGTTTAAGAATCATCCAGGAATACTGACTCCAAATGTTGGTGTTCATAACAACAGATTCACTGATCTGACAATGTGTAAATGTTCCAAATTTATACCTAGGGAGTTCATTTTTATCAATAAAACCCAGTTGTCTGTTTTATATATATTGAGATCTCACATAGGATTTTGATGAAATAATTTTTAAATTCTTATTTATTGGTGTGTATGTGGTGTGTGTGTGTGTGCGCGTGCATGTGTGTGTGTGTGTGTGTGTGTGTGTGTGTGTATGTGTGTGTGTGCATGCTACACAGGTCATGTGGACTTCAGAGCACAACATTGTTCTTGGTTCTACCTTGTAATCAATCCAGTGACCAACCTTAAGTCACCAGGTTTGCGAGGCTAATGTTTTACCTACTGAGCCATCTCACTAACCCTGCTTAAATAATTTTTAAAATCCCATCAGTTTATTTTATTCTATTAAAGTAGGGTCTCAGAGAGGTGTTGGTGGTACATGTCTTTAATCCCAGCACTCAGGAGACAGAGGCAGGCAGATCTCTGTGAGTTTGAGACCAGCCTTTTCTACAGAGCTAGTTCCAGGACAGGCTCCAAAGCAATACAGAGAAACCCTGTCTTGGAAAAGGAAAGAAAAAAAAAAAAGATAGGGTCTCATGTAAGGCTGGCCCTATCTATATAGTCCATTTCTGATCCTCCTGCCTCTATTTCCTGAGAACTTGAATTATAGCCTTGTGCAACCAGGCCCAGTTTATTTGGTACTGAGAGAGCATCCAGGCACTCCACCAGTTGAGCCACAGCTCCAGTCCCACATCAGTGTTTTGTTTGTTTGTTTTGTTTTAAAGTTTGAAAACAATTCCAATAACATGGATTACATTTCCAATGTTTGGAGCCCTTATTCTGAGTCTGCAAATAATGCAAGTCCATGTCCATAATTTAATCTCTCTGAGAACTGATTTTCTCATCTGCAAAATAAAAAAAAAGCAGTACCTACTCAATTTACCATATACACAAACTTAACATATGAAGCAGGTTTTGAAATTAAAGTGGAAATTCACAAAAGTTTTGAGCAGAAAAGATTAGGATAGTAATCATACCAGATAGGTTAAGTCAAACTCCGTGGCATTGCAACCAGAGCTACCTGTGGTCATAGGGGACCACAATACTTTTCAAGTTCCTTAGTAATTATATTACATGAGATATGATAAATATTCATTAATATAATCCCATTATTTGTCTAAAAATGAATTTTGTTTTGAGTCACAGTTTCCCAGAAAACAGCAGCGCTCAAGCCCACAGCATGTAGCTCCCGGCCTGGAAGGACCGTTGGAATTACAGATAACTGCACATCTGGACTACAGTATCAAATGCTAGTGATACGCACAACCTGAAGGCCAATTAGTTCAAGAACCCATATGGTAGGTAAAACAGAAACATCAAGCTCTATTTTGGGTCAAGGAGATATGCTTATTTGCTACAGTAGAGAATGAACCCGGAGCCTGGCTATGCTAGGCAGGGGCACAGCACAAAGCCACAACCCAACTGCTGTTTTTATTTTTAAGAGATTTTTCTGCTCACCTGACACAGCCTGTGAAATGGGAAACCATGATGCTGCAGGTCCAGGCTAAGGCAAAAGTTCCTCAGGTGTCCCCAGTGTTTTGCAGGTTCAAGTGGTGTTCAACTCCTATAGAAATGAACATGGTTACTTTTTAGCATCACTTGCCTAGAAAAAATTCCTAGAGCCCAATCAGGTAAAGAAAATGAGATTCAAAAAATGTGAGAGGGCTGGCAAGATGGCTCAGTTGGTAAAGACACTTGCAACCAAACATGCCAATCTGATTTTGATCCCCAGGTCCCACATGGTAGAAGGAGAAAACTAACTCACAGAAATTGTCTTCTGATATCACCATGTACGCCTTGGCAAGCACACACACACACACACATACACAAATAAATAAATGTTAGTACAGTTGTACTAATAAAAGCACACATACAATAGAAGCTATTAAAAGAAAAATGCCACTTCCCAGTCATGATGACCAGGATTTCCCAACTGGAAGGTGACATTGAGTGAACACCAGGGAACAGCCTTCCAGGACACTCTGTACAGTCCCTGACTGTGATAATTAATCATTGGCAAGTTGAGGGCATTTGGAATCTCCTAAAAGACACACCTCTGACTGTATCTGTTGAAGCGTTTCCAGAGAGGTTTAACTGCAGAAGAACCATCCTGAACGTGGGCAGCACCTCCCAGGATCTGGGAAATCCAGACTAAATGCAAAAGGAAACAGAGAAACCCAAACAACCATCAGCGTTCATCTTTCTCTGGGTCCTGACCGTGAGCATCACATGACCAAATGCACACTATGCTCTCAACAGGCATGCCTTCCCTATTGTGATGGACCATATCCTCTCCAACCATGACAACAGACTACTCTTCCCTTAAGTTGAATCTATATTTGGTTACAGAAACAATGTGCCAACTCACAGAGATGTTCAGTAGACTACCTCAGGTTCTGGGGTGATGACACCTTGGCATGAGGCAAACTGCACTAGAAATCCAGTGGCTTCTAACTGGATAATACCCGACCTGAGAAGGTCATTTTGGCAAATCAGAGTTTCAATTTCCTAGCTGTATAGTATAATACAGTCAAAGTACAGCGTAGCAATTAAAAGCCATGGCATAGATGAACCTTTAAAAGAGCTCTTCAGATGAAGGAAGCCAGACACAAAAGAATGCATGTTATATGACTCCATTTACAGGTAGTTTCAGAATAGGAAAACACAGATAATAATAGAAATTACACGACTCTGTGAATTGACTAAAGACTTTTACATTATTGATGAAATATGAGTTATCTCTCAATAAAACTATTTTAAAAATACTGCCTAGGGCTGAGGATATAGCTCAGAACTAGAGTTCTAGTTTAGCATGGGTAGGGCTGTGGGTTCACCTCCCAGCATAGAAACAAAAACCCTGTATAAGATAACACAGGTGGGGGCTGCAAATGTGAGTCACCTGGTAGAATACTTGCCTTGCATGCACAAAGCTCTGGGTTCCACCCCATCACCATGTAAAATAGGGCCAGCATGCCTGTAATCCTACTGCAGGCGTCATGCAGATTAAATGAGGAGACCTGTGAAATGTGTGTGGACAGTCACTGGTGGATAGTGACACTGACTAAAGAGTAGTTCTGGTGATACTTATGCAAAAAAGGAGCAAAGTGACACTTAGGGCATGTCATCAACCTAAAATTAGGTAGAGAGAACGCCTCACCTACAAACACCATTTACTCCCATGTCCTTACCAGATGGAATTTCTACATATTGGCAAGCAAGCCAGCTGTCTGGAAGCAAAGCATAAATAGTATTAGAAAGGCCAGGAGGGGAGGTTTGTATGGAATGTGATGGAACTGTGGAGAAGAGAATGACCTATCCCTGCACCTCCCACTACTCTCCTGCACCTCCCAATGCTCCTTTCCAGAAACACAGATGCATGGAGCAAGAATACAGGGTGGGGGACAGACATATGGCAGACAACACCCTCTCACAGAAAGGCAGAGTTTTCAAAGATTGTTGCTCTCCACGTTCTTCCCAGGATGTCAAGAGTGTAGAGATAAATAATTATAAGGATTTACAAAAAAAGAAAAGGACAATCATGAGAATTGGACAAGCCTATTCACAAGAAAAAGGAATCTAGATTTTAAGTTCCCAAAAGCCCTTCTGGGGCTGTTAAGAAAGGAAAGCCTCTTAGCTGTAATCACTCCTAATTGCCCATCAGCAGCTCATGAAATTACCCATGGTATCGGAAGACCTTCTTGGTCTTGACTGCCCACCAAGAGTTATGGTGTGATCTACCAGGAAGAAGGCCAGCAAAGTGATCTGTTGAAGAGCCATGGGAATCCTGGCACATCTTCTGCCTGTGGGCTACAGAGGAGGTACCCATCAAGATGAGGCACTGAACTCAGAAGGCCCAGCAAGTTTTGCTAACCTCCTAATAAATATTCACTCAACAAGAGATGTGCTTGGGTTCTTTCCACAGTGCTAAGACAGGAGATGGGGAGGCATCAAGATTAGCATACGAAGGCAAAGCCTGAAAACCTTTGACCAACATATAGTAGGCAATAAACATAAGGGCCAGAGCATGCAGGAGAGGAGAGGAGGGTGCTATGTATAGGGCCCATAAAGAGAACTCTAGGACCTAGGGCCATTGAACTTGTAACTTTCTTCACCATGCCCAGTTTGTGCAGTGCTGGGGATTGAACCAAGAGTTTCATGCATCTGAGGCAAGCACTCTACCAACTGAGCTATCTCCTGAGTGCCCACAAAGCATATAGAATTATCCACACAACTTAAAAAACAGCTTTACAACCAAGCACTGCTGACGCTCCCATCCCTATCTCCCTCTGTGCGTGTTAGGGTTTCAGATCTTTATCCTCCCAAAGGAAGGCATCCACTTGCATCCCATTAAAAACGTGGCTTCTTTCATCTGTGGCCCACCCACTAAAAATTTATATTTGGAGTATATTTTTACGTGGTCACCATAGATAAAAATAAACAAATAGCCAAACACACTGGAGTTAGATGCATAATTATGTTTTGATCTATGTAAAAAGAAAAAATTAACTACATTGTAAAATAAGAAAAATAAATAAATAAGATTCAAATTTAAAAAAACTTAAACTACACAATTCTTAAAACTGGAGGGCACTACTCTAGTATGTTTTTTGACTAATTTCTCATCAGCTGTTCTGGTTTGGATTTTTGGGTTTTGAGACAGCCTTACCATATCATAATGCAGGCTGACCTTGAGCTTGTGACCCTCCTGCCTCAGACTTCAAAGTTCTGGGATCTGGTATGCCTAGATTCTCATCGGGTTTGATTAGTCATCCCTAAAGATGGTTGAGGAACTTCCTCTGGGAGAACTGTCAGCTCTCTCATGTCCTCAAGGTTCACACTGGCTTCTGTGAGGTGTGGTCTATTCAACCAGCTCTGGTTGTCTAGCTGTGGATCCCCACCACCCATAAGGACAGCATGAAATTAATTCTGTTGGTCATGATCAGCATTTATTAACAGGCAAACTGAACAAAGGAGAGGAGAAATAGCAGCATTTATCTCACATAGGGAGGGTATGCCTCACTGTGGTTTATAGTGAGGCAAGGTCAAAGTTCTCTCTCAGAAAGGCTGGGCACAGTGATGGATTAGAACTATGATTGTGTGTAAGAAAAAATGAGAAGCCCAGTAAAGCCTGTTCACTAAGACCCTGTAAACAGTGCCAGGCTGATTTTGATGAGATGTACAAGAAAGAGCCATTGTTAGCTCTTGGGGGGAGGGGAGCAGGGTAAGACGAGGTTCCTGGAAGATACTTTAGGCAACAGTGGGCTGAGCTGTTGAGTAAACAAGGGCTCCTTTGGGGCTGAGTCTCCTTTTGAGGTTTGCTCATGATTTACAGCTTTGACATTGAACACAATGTCTAACAGTAAGAGTGGACGCTCCCTAGGGATTGGACATTTCACCTTCTCTCAGATCCAGTAAGGCTGAACAAGTCTCCCAATTTGTATCGGTCAAATTCCCCACACCCTAGGAGGCCATAGGGATTGAGACACCCCTCCCCAAAAAAAGCAGCATTGTAGATCCAAGCCAGGGCAGAATATAATTCCCTCCACCCCTAAAGATACCAATGTGCCCTGACCTATGACACAACCACACTGTTCCCTACTCTGAGTATTTTTCCTTCGCTTTGTTCTCATGGTATGAACAAAGCTCCCACCTGACACATCTGGTTCTGAAGAGATGGGCCTGCTCAGCCCCTCAGGTTAACACCAGAAGGGCCCAACTCCAGGTCCCTGTTCTCCCTCCTCAGCCCTCTCTCCCACACACATGCCTGGAACTCACACAATGTAAAGCAATCACCCAGACAAACAAACTCACTAGTCCCTGGGTACAGGAAGTGACTCACAAGAAAAGAATCAGGGTCAAGGACTTCAGAAGGAACCTGGCTATGTCCCAGCTACCCCAGCCACCTGTGTCTCCATTATTAGGGACAGACATTTCACTAGGCACCTGAGATGGTATACAGCATGCTGTACAACCCTCAGCCAACCTGGGAAACTGACATCTGGATAAGGGGCAAGGACTAGGGAAAAGGGTTGATAGTGGATGAAGGCTTCCAGAGTCAAGGGACTCAATGTGTTTGGAATGGACAAACCTTGTCCTGTAAAAAGAACTGGAGAATGGCAGAGAGCTGAGGACTAAGGGTCCAGATGTGCTTGTGGAAAGACATGGAGTAGAAACCAAGGTCTAGGGACACTGGAAAAAGAAGATCCTGTCCAGTGAGGTGGCAGCTGGAGAGGACAAAGGTGTCTCCACACCTCAACTGAGAAAACACTGTGAATGGGGGACAGAAGCAAGAGGGAGCAAATGAGGCTTCATTTCCTCAAGGGAGCCCCTGCTTAAAGCGAATGGGTTATCCTCAGCAGGCAGAGGACGAGATATCCTTCTAGGCACATCCAGCCTGCAACAACCTGCAACCCACTGGCTACACACAGCCAAGCACATTCATAAATGCAGCCAAACATTCAACCACAAACTTCTTTAAAAACCATTATGATGAGAATGTTTTTTATATAACTAGATTGCATAGTTCTTAAGAGTGAACTTTGTAGATGACAATGCTATTTTGCA